AAACCGGGTTTCAATACTCGTGGTGGGCAGAGCACAGATAGCCCATTGTGTAGCTTTGTGCTTAATTCCAAACAAACATACAATGAACTGAGCCGAACGAGTGGCTTATTCGTTTAAAACTATCCCTAATGAGATACAATAATTAATATGAAAATTGCATATACAAATTTGGTGCAAGTACACGAGGGTAAATGCCAATTAACTGATACTTTACGTGACTTCTACTTTTGTTGCAAAAGGAAAGATTAAGATTCGTAGATTGGCTGTTTCCAAAAATCATTTTTTAATCATATGGTTACCAACTTGGGTATATATTCAATGTTCTTTCATGGCATAAATAGATCATTTTGTTATTTTAAAAGTTTTGCAATCTTTTCATAAAATTTAAAATTCACTTACTCTCAGCAAAAACTACGTGAACAATAAAAATAAAAGCCGGGTGCGAAATACACCGGCGTATTTACAGCTACCTGATATTTCGGTAAAAAGATAATGGATGCGTTTATCTGAGGAACGTTAAAAAAACGTTTATTATAAACTTTTTTACTCCACATTTTTTGTGACATATTACACGGTTTTTTTTAATTCGCATACACTGTACTGTAAATATAAAATGTCACTCAATCTCTAGTGTTATCGTGATTTTCTGTGCGTTCTCATATTTGATGAACGAACTGGAATAACATTTAATGAGATTTAATGAGTTTCATTGAAATCATTGAAGTCTTTGCCAGACAAACTTCGACTTCAAATTTCACCAATTCCTATATATTTTCATGATTAAGAAAATGACAGGAGTTTTGAAACTGTAATATTTGTCTGATTTCTTGAGACTTCTTGTTGCGGATTTAACTAAAGCTGCTAAATATATTAAAAAAACACACAAAAAGTATGATGATATTAATAGACAATTTATAACACATAATGAAGAAACTGTCACAAAAGAAAAAACAAGTAGTTTACTGTGATGAAAAACAGTACTACCCGAAATGAATGCTATGAACATTTGATAGCATAATTTCTGTGTAGTACAGATGTTAATGTATTCTTACCAGTCACTTGGTGTTGTTTCTGGAAGGGCTAAGATCCGATGTTGCGGGAAAATCGAGATGTAAAAATCTTCTTAATAACTGAATACGTTTTTTGTCCTCAGTAGGTTAAGCTGATAGCTGAACACTAATCTTTAAATTCCGTAAAAGCGAACCTATGACCGAACACACGTGAATTACTCCTATATTGTAGATTAAGATACAGCTTGTTTATACAGCAAGAGTTCACGTAAAGGCACTGTGTTCAGATCTGGGGGTTAGGTGCAGGTGGGTTGGTTTCTATATGATTTGTTTGTTACGTCACGAGTTGAAGAAAGCCGGCAGCAGTCGACTTAGCAGGGCATGTTTGTCACGAAGGAAACAAGTTCTTTGTTTATGCATTAATTCTTAAACACATTCGCCGTTATTTTAACCAGTTTTTTTATTTAATCTTTCGTCAATCCTATCATTTGCAACATAAACTTAAGACAATTGCCAAGTCTTTTAAATCACCCACATTGGTTACATAGCTTACTTGAATGTAGTTATCTCGCTTCCTGTCCGTGTTGCAGTGATTGGTGACTTCTATGGAACAAGAACTCTTGGAGGAAGTGGAGTTATTTGTAGAGGAAGTGTGGGGAGGGGGAGCTGCATGGGGGAGGAAGTGATGAATATCCACTCACAGTTTTAGCTATCAATCTCAGTCTGCCTGGTGGTTAGGGTGCTCGACTCGCAATGCTGTTGAACTGTATCTGTAAATCACCCAAAACAAAGAGATGCTGTTCAGTTGTACCTTCTTTCTTTAGATCTTAAAACTGTTGTTAGTTGATTATCTATTAACATAAACTAATCGTGGGTTTAACATGTAGTCCACATTTTTAGAGTCCCGAGTGTTCCTTTGGTGCTCGATATTTTCAACTAGAGCATCAGTTTGCACGACACATGGACCAAGCGGCCAGATCAAAGACCACAAAGATCTGTAGTAGCTGTCCTTAAGTTAGAGCTACTGACCAGGTCAGCAGCATATAATACGTACACCGGTACTCTCAACGGAATAGCAGGATTGAGTATTATTTCTATAACAGTCCTCCCACAACTGAAAGCGTAAATCGTTTTTAGAGGTATAGCTAAGGATTGAAACTTGGACCTTCTGATTCGTAGCTCCGCAGGCTAAATCAATAGGACACGCCCGGCTCCGAGTTTCCTTTGACTACTGTCACGATTCCTATTTTTTGTTTGTTTTGGATATTCATGCAAAACTACACAAGGTGTACGTGTACTAATAGTCCCAAATTTGGAACTGATACACTAGAAGGTAAGCAGATTGTCAACATAATCTATTCCCAGCTCTTCAGTGACTTTAATCAAATAGTGGGACTTGATTGCCACTCTTATAACGCACCTGTGGCTCCAAAGTGTGGAGCACAATTTTGCAGCAGCGGGACGCGAACCATTGACCCTGGGATTTACCGTCTGGCACCCTAATCATAAACCAGCTTCTAAACAACCAAATCCTCATGACAACAATTACTGTTGGTTAACGTTTGATATAATCTACCTCATGACAACAATTGCTGTTGGTTAACGTTTCATATACTCTACCTCATGACAACAATTGCTGTTGGTTAACGTTTCATATAGTCTGCCTCATGACAACAATTGCTGTTGGTTAACGTTTCATATAGTCTACCTCATGGCAACAATTATTGTTGGTTAGCACGTAATATAGTCTACCTAACGCCAACAATTACTGTTGGTTAGCATGTCATGTAGTCTGCCACATGACAACAATTACTGTTGGTTAGCATGTCATATAGTCTGCCTCACGACAACAATTACTGTTGGTTAGCATGTCACGTAGTCTGCCACATGACAACAATTACTGTTGGTTAGCATGCCAT